AAATCCCCACCCCTGTTTTTCAAATCTTGACCATTTCCCCCAAATGCCACCATCACTTCCCCAATTCCCAGTTTCGCCTTAATTTTCCCCATTCCTCCCCAGCCTGTCCCTTCCCCACCGTCCCAGTGCAGAACAGGGATCGCTCCAGGGCCCTTTGCACACAAAGCTTTTTGTGCAGCCGGCGCTCTGCCGCAGTGCCCCGAGGCTGAGCTGCCCTCTGCCAAACACAGATATTCACAGTGACCAAAAACAGGAACTTTCTGTTTCCTTTCCTGCCCCGGCCGGGCCCCGGCAGCTGCCGGGGAGGAAGTGGGGGGAGGCTGCGGAGCCCCAAAATCACAGCGTCTGCTCCTCCCTCCCTCCCTCCCTCCCTCGCTCCCACCTGGGGCTTCAATTCTCCCTCAGCGGCCTCGGTGTCTGGGGCTGCTCCTTGGGGCTGGGCTGGAATCCTCTCTGGGAGCTCTGGACATGGTGACGATGCTGGTGGTGGCCCCAAACCCCCATCCCTGGCTCCCCAAATGTCCCAAAATCCCCAGATCCTGCCCCAAATCACAACCCTTGACCCAATTCTTGACCTTCTCCCCCAGTGTCCACCATCTCTGCCCCAACTTTCTACTTTATCCCAATTGTTCCCATTTCACCCAAATCTCCCCCAGCTCCCCGGGCCCTGATTGGAGGAGGCTTGAACTGGAGGCCAGGGGTGACAGTTTGGGGCCAATGGTTGAGTTTTGGGGCAGGAGCAGTGGAGGGTTTGGGGTCAGTGCTGACCATTGGTGCAAATGGGGGAGATTTGGGACAAAGGGTCAAGGGCTGAGGTTCGGGGGGAGGGTCTGGGTTTGGGGACTGGGAGGCTCAAAAAAAAGGACTCAGAAAAAAACCACCATGACCAACATCATCCCAATCAATGCCTTTACCAGCAGCAGGACCACAACAACCAGCCCAAATTTTGGCACCGAAATAGGATCCGGAATCCTCGTCCATGAGGTTGTTCATGGTCAGCGTCACCGAGCTCTACCCGTTGTCCCTGGAGATCGTGACCCGGCTCTTGACCGATGGCGCGTAATAGATGTAAGCACCAGTGTTGCTGATGTAGGCGACCCATTCTAGCCCCTGCCTGGGTCTCTGTCTCTGAACCCAGTTCATGGCAAAATTCCCAAAATCAAACCCGGGCCCTCGGCAGAGGAGGCGCAAGGACCCCCCGGGGGCTGGAAGTTCCCCCCGCACTCCAACAGGGTCACGGCCGCGCGGAGCCCTGCGGGACAAAGGGGAGATGGGGATCAGAAACCTGATTGGTTCAGAAGGGGAAAAGGGGCGGGGCCACCTGGGAGGGGCAGCAGGAGCAGCAGGGCCAGGAGCCGGAGGGAGCTCAAGGCCATGGCCATGATGTTCCGGGGTTGGGGATGGTTAATGCTGGTTTTAGTTTTGAAATCAATGTGGAACACTCAGGTCTAGGTGTGCAATTAATAATGAGAATATTGAGTTAACTTTTAGGGTTTGAGGGACCTCAGGATTCCAGAAAAATGTGATGGAGATTTGGGACCAAACCAGTGGAGTTATGAGGGAAATTGGTAAAGATTTGGGGATGGGCTCCGGGCAGCCGTGACCCTGCTGGAGTACAGGGGGGACCTTCAGCCCTCCGGGGGGTCCCTGCGCCTCCTCTGCCGAGGGTCCGGGTTCAGTTTTGGACAATTTGGGATGGGCTGGGTGCGCCAGAGACCCGGGCAGGGGCTGGAATTTGTCGCAGGCATTGACAGCGATGGATACACCAGATACCTGTCTGTGTTCAAGGGCCGCGTCACGATCTCCAGGGACAACGGGCAGAGCTCGGTGACGCTGACCATGAACCACCTCAAGGACGAGCATTCCGGATCCTATTTCTGTGCCAAATGTGCTTCTGCTGGTTGGGATGCTTATGCTGCTGCTGTTGCTGTTGGACGCCATCCCCGTCCCTGTGTGCCCCCCTACCCCGTTCCCCCGGATCATTCCCTCCAGCCCTTGACCCCATTGGTGACTACCATAGACCAAATCTGGCCCATTTTCCCCAAATCTCGGCCATTTGCACCCAGGTTTGGAGACCTAGGCTGAGACGTGGAGCCCAGAGCTGAGGTTTGGGGCCAGGAGCTGAGAATGTGGGGCAGAGCCAGTTCAGAGCTGGGACATGGGGACAGGAATGGAGTCAGGGGCTGGGGATTGGGGAAGGGTCTGGGGAATGGGGACAGGGGGGGACACGGCCATGGCGAGGCATCAATGCCATAGGCATCATTAACAGCACCATTATCATCAGCACCCCTGGCACAGAAATAGGATTCGGAATTCTCGTCCTTGATGTTGTTCATGGTCAGCGTCTCTGAGCTCTGCCCGTTGTCCCTGGAGATCGTGACCTGGCCCTTGACCGATGGACTGTAGTACGTGTAAGCACCAATGCTCCAGATCCCCGCAACGTATTCCAGCCCCTGCCCGGGTCTCGGGCAGATCCATTGCATGGGAAAACTTCTGAAACTGAACCCGGACCCTCGGCAGAGGAGGTGCAGGGACCCCCCGGGGGGCTGGAGGTCCCCCCCGCACTCCAGCAGGTCACGGCCGCCCGGAGCCCGGCAGGACAAAGGGGAGATGGGGATGGGGCAATGCAAAGGTCCAGCAGAGCTTTCCAATTAATTAATGGATGGATTGGGTCTAATTGCAGGGTTTAGGGAACTTTTCCATACAGGAAATTTCTGTTAGATATTTGAGGCCCAACAAAAGGAAATTTGGGGCAAAATCAGTGAAGGTTTAGGGACGAGGAAGAGGCCATGTCCCTGCTGGAGTCCGGGGGGGACCTCCAGCCCCCCGGGGGGTCCCTGCGCCTCCTCTGCCAAGGGTCCGGGTTCAGTTTTGGCGTTTATGGAATGTTCTGGATCCATCAGAGATCCAGGCAGGGGCTGCAGTGGCTCGCAGGGATCAGCAGTGGTGGTTACACTGAGTACGCGCCATCGGTCATGGGCCGGTTCAGGATCTCCAGGGACAACGGGCAGAGCTCGGTGACGCTGACCATGAACAACCTCAAGGACGAGGATTCCGGATCCTATTTCTGCGCCAAGGCTGCTGGTGCCAGTTGGGGTAATGATGTCTCTGCTCTTTGCCCCTTCCCCTTGACTGGGTCCCCTCCTGCCCCCAGGCCCCAGACCCTTCCACCAAATCTCAGCCCTTGACCCCATTCTTCACCCTTGGTCCCAGATCTCCCCCAGTTCCACCAACGCCAACCACGGAGGCAAAACCCCCAATCGGGTTCTGCCCCAAACCCAATAAAGTTTGCACGAAAATCACCCAATTCTGCCCAAAAACCCCACTTTGTTCTCCCAGCCACAGCTGCTGACACGAATCCCCAATTCTGACCAAAATCAGGACCCTGGGCCTCAAACCCCGACCTTCAGAGCAAAGTTTTAGGGCACAAAGGGGAGATTTGGGGTCGGGAGTTGTGGTTTGGGGTCAGCGGGTGAGAATTGGGACCGAGGCACAGCAAGGTTGGGATCGATGGTCAAGGGCTGGGTGTGGGCTGGGGGTTAGGGGGAAGGGTCTGGGCAACGGGGACGGGGGGGACACAGGCATAGGGACAGTTTGGGCATTGTCAATAAAACCACCACCACCACCATCACCATCATCAGATTTGGCACAGAAATACGTGGCGGAATCCTCGAATTTGAGATTGTTAATGGTCAGCGTCACCGAGCTCTGCCCATTGTCCCTGGAGATCATAAACCGACCCAGGACTGACGGCGCGTACCCGGTGTAAGAACCACGGTGTCTGATGCCCGTGACCCATTCCAGCCCCTGCCCGGGGCTCTTGCGGACCCAGTTCATGGCAAAACTCCCAAAATCAAACCCGGACCCTCACCAGAGGGGGCGCAGGGAACCCCCAGGGGGCTGGAGGTCCCCCCCAGACTCCAGCAGGGTCACGGCCGCCCGGAGCCCTGCGGAACAAAGGGGAGATGATGGAAACAAGGAATCGGATTGGTCCAGAAGGGGAAAAGGGGCATGGCTTGCAGAAAAAGGGGCAGGACCCACTTGAGAGGGCAGCCAGGAAGAGGATATGGCGGCAGAAGTGTCAAAATTTTGCGCCAAAGGTCGGGGTTTGGGTCAAGGGTTTAGCTTTGGCCTCATCCCCATCTCCCCTTTGTCCTGCAAGGCTCCGGGCGGCCGTGACCCTGCTGGAGTGCGGGGGGGACCTCCAGCCCCCTGAGGGTTCCCTGCGCCTCCTCTGCCGAGGGTCCGGGTTCGATTTTGGCAGTTTTGTCATGTGCTGGATCCGCCAGAGATCCGGGCAGGTGCTGGAATGGGTTGGAAGTATCAGCAGTGGTGGTGGCAGCACATTCTATGCGCCATCCGTCAAGGGCCGGTTCAGGATCTCCAGGGAAAACGGGCAGAGCTTGGTGACGCTGACCATGAACAACCTCAAGGACGAGGATTCCGGATCCTATTTCTGTGCCAGGGCTGCCTATAATAATTGGGGTGCTGCTGCTGGTGTGGATGGTGTTAACCTCATCCCCATCCCCGTGTCCCCACCTGTCCCCATTCCCCAGCCCCTTCCCCACATCCCAGCCCCGGACCCCATTCCTGTCCCCGTGTCCCAGCTCTGAGCTGGCTCTGCCCCAAATCTCAGCTCTTCGCCCCAAACCTCAGCTCTTGGCTCCAACGCTCAGCCAAGTTTCCCATACCTGGGTGCAAATGGTCAAGATTTGGGAAAATGGGCCAGATTTGGTCTGTGTCTGTGACTCAGATCCACCACTGAAATTCTGGGCCAGAACAGGTCCAGTGTGGGGCAATGTGGGATTTGAGGGCCGAGACTGAGCTCAGGGTGAAACCAGCTCTGATTTGGGGCCAGGAGCTGTGATTTGGGGCCAGAGCAGGGCAAGGGTGGGAGAAAGGGTCAGGAGTGGAGGGAAGGGTTGCGGCACGGGGACAGGGAGAAAACCATAAACAATATTTGCAGCACCCCAACCAGCACCATAACCATCAGCACCCCTGGTGCAGAAATAGGATCCGGAATCCTCGTCCTTGAGGGTGTTCATGGTCAGCGTCACCGAGCTCTGCCCATTGTCCCTGGAGATTGTGAACCGAACCGTGACAGACGGCGCGTAGCGGGTGTCTCCACCATTGCCCCAGATCCCTGCGAGCCACTCCAGCCCCTGCCCGGGTCTCTGACGGACCCACTGCATGGCAACACTCCCGAAACTGAACCCGGACCCTCGGCAGAGGAGGCGCAGGGATCCCCCGGGGGGCTGGAGGTCCCCCCCGCACTCCACCAGGGTCACGGCCGCCCGGAGTCCTGCGGGACAAAAGGGAGATGGGGATGGGAAACCTGATTGGTCGAGGGCCTCAAAGCAGGTGTGGTGTGCTGGAAAACGGGACTGGACCAACCTGGGAGGAGGATGATGAACTCCAAGGGACCCAATGTGGGGCCAGGAGTCAGGATTTGGGTCAACGGTTGAGCTTTTCCATCCCCTTTGTTCCGCAGGGCTCCGGGCGGCCGTGACCCTGCTAGAGTGCGGGGGGGACCTCCAGCCCCCCGGGGGGTCCCTGATCCTTCTCTGCCCAGGGTCCAGGTTCGATTTCGGCAGTTTTGGGATGGGCTGGGTCCGCCAGAGACCCGGGCATGCGCTGGCGTTCGTAGCACAGATCAACACTGTTGGCAAAACCCACTATGGAGATTCGGTCCAGGGCCGGTTCACGATCTCCAGGAACAACGGGCAGAGCTCGGTGGTGCTGACCATGAACAACCTCAAGGACGAGGATTCCGGATCCTATTTCTATGCCAAGGATTCCTATGGTGGCTGGAATGCCGCCCATGCCATTGGTTTCACTCCCGATGGTTGGGTTAGTGCTTGGGGTTTCAGCCCCGTCCCTGTCCCCAGCTGTCCCCAGACCCTTCCCCAAATCCCCCTGTCCCACCCCTGACCCTTTGTCCCAGCCCCGCCCCCTTTGCCCCAACGCTGCCGATTGGCCCAAAACGCCCCTGGGTCTGGCCCCAAACTTAACTCTCAGCCCAAAATCTCCCCCTCGTGCCCCAAAAGTGCCCAATGGTAGAGATTTGGGGACAGCGGGTGAGGTTTGGGTCAGCGGCTGAGGCTGGGAGCCCAAAGTGGGGATTTGGGGAAGAATCGGGCGAATTTTGGGGCCAAAGCAGGAGGGCTGGGGGCAGAACCAGTTTGTGGGTTTGGGGTCTTGGGTCACCATTGGTGGAAATGGGGGAGATCTGGGAAAAGGGGACAAGAATGGGGTCAAGGGCTCAGATTTGGGTAAAGGCTCTGAGATTTGGGGACAAGAGGGGCTCAGGCAAGGGCGCTGCCACCACGGGAAAGGTCACTAAAAACAGCACCAGCAGCCCAAGCAGCACCAGCAACTTTGGCACAGAAATAGGATCCGGAATCCTCGCCCTTGAGGTTGCTTATGGTCAGCGTCACCGAGCTCTGACCGTTGTCCCTGGAGATCGTGAACCGTCCCTTGACCAACAGCGCGTAGATGGTGCTGGAACCATCGCTCCTGATCCACGTGACGAATTCCAGCCCCTGCCCAGGTCTCTGGCGGATCCATGACATGTCAAAATTCCCAAAACTGAACTCGGACCCTCGGTAGAGGAGGTGCAGGGACCCCCCGGGGGGCTGGAGGTCCCCCCCGCACTCCAGCAGGGTCACGGCCGCCCGGAGCCCTGCGGGACAAAGCGGAGATGATTAAAAATGAAAATGTGATTGCTCCAGAAGGGGAAAAGGTGCGTGTGTTCCAGAAAAAAGGGGCGGGACCCACCTGGGAGGGGCAGCAGGGGCAGCAGGGCCAGGAGCACAAGGGACCTCAAGGCCAAGGCCGGGATGTGCTGGGGCTGGGGTCCCGGGGGGTTTTGGGTGTTGTAAACATGGTATTGCGTTGGAAATCAATGTGGAACCCTGAGGAGAAGGTGTCCAATTAATTAATGAGAATATTGAGTTTAATTCCAGCATTTGAGTAACTTCATGATACCCAAAAAATCTGGTGGAGGTTTGGGACCAAACCAGTGCAGTTATGAGTGAAATTGGTGAGGATTTGGGGATGGGCTCCGGGCGGCCATGACCCTGCTGGAGTGCGGGGGGCACCTCCAGAACCCCAGGGGGTCCCTGCGCGTCCTCTGCCGAGGGTCCGGATTCGATTTTAGCAGTTTTGGCATGGGCTGGTATCGACCGAGGCCTGGAAAAGGGCTGGAGTACGTCGCAAGGATCAGTGACACTGGAGGTTACACCGAGTACGCGCCATTGGTCAAGGGCCGGGTCACAATCTCCAGGGACAACGGGCAGAGCTCGGTGATGCTGACCATGAACAACCTCAAGGACGAGGATTCCGCAACCTATTTCTGTGTCAAAGCTCCTTGTGGTCGTGGTGCTGCTCCTGCTGATTATATTGACGGTGCTCGTGATGTGCCCATCTCCGTGTCCCCGTCCCCGTTCCCCAGACCCTTCCCCCAAACCCCCAGCCCACACCCAGCTCTTGACCACTGATCCCAACCTTGCTCTGCCTAGGCCCCAATTCTCACCCGCCGACCCCAAACCACAACTCCTGACCCCAAATCTCCAATTTGTGCAACAAAACTTGATTCTGAAAGTGGATACTTCTGGTCATGGGTTAAGATTTCGGTCAATTTTCCGGCCAAGAGTGGAGAATTTGGGGCAGAGCCAGAGCAGGGTTGGGAGATAGGGTCAGAAATGGGGTCAGGGGCAGAGTTTGGGAGAAGGGTCTGGGGAACCTGGACAGGGCGGGGACAGAGCCATGGGGATGGGGTCAGAACCATCAGCAGCAGCACCCCAAGTATCAGAGGCAGCTTTCCCGCAGAAATAGGAACCGGAATCCTCGTCCTTGAGGTTGTTCATGGTCAGCGTCACCGAGCTCTGCCCGTTGTCCCTGGAGATCCTGAACCAGCCCTGCACTGATAATGCGTAGGTGTAGCTGGATCCATCATTCTTGATCACTGCGACGTCTTCCAGCCCCCGCCCGGGTCTCTGGCACATCCAGAACCTTCTGAAACTCCTGAAATTGAACCCGGACCCTCGGCAGAGGAGGCGCAGGGAGCCCGGGGGGGTTGGAGGGACCCCCGGACACCAGCAGGGACACGGCCACCCAGAGCCCTGCGGGACAAAGGGGAGATGGGGATGAGGGAACAAATCCACCTAAATGTTGATTCTTGCCTGCAGACCCTGATGTTGGCCCCAAATTGGGACCCTGGGACCTCCCCATCCTCCTCCTGCAGCTCCTGCTGTCCCTCCCAGGTGGATCCCACACCCTTTTTCTGGCATGGCGGTGCCCACTTTGGGTCCATAACCAATCCAGCTCCTCCTCCCAATCTCCTCTTTGTCCTGCAGGGCTCCGGGCAGCCGTGACGCTACTGGAATGTGGGGGGGACCTCCAGCCCCCCAGGGGGTACCTGTGCCTCCTCTGCCGAGGGTCCGGGTTTGATTTCGGGAGTTACCCCATGAGCTGGGTCCGCCAGAGACCCGGGCAGTGGCTGGAGTGGCTTGCAGGCATCTACAGTGATGGTTCCTACATCTACTACGCGCCATCGGTCCAGGGCCGGTTCAGGATCTCCAGGGACAACGGGCAGAGCTCGGTGACGCTGACCATGAACAACCTCAAGGACGAGGATTCCGGATCCTATTTCTGCGCCAAGAGTTTTGCTGGTTATGCTGGTGATAACAATGCCTGCTGTATTGACCCCTTCCCCATCACTGCGTCGCCCCCTGTCCCCATTCCCCAGACCCTTCCCCAGCTCCCAGCCCCTGACCCAGCCCGTGACCATTTCCCCATTTCCCTTTCACCTCTCCGGCCCCAAACCCCAACCCTTGGCCGTTGATCTTCCCCCAAACTCTGCCCCAAAGGTCAGCGCTGGGCCCGGGGCTGGGGACACGAATTCAGTCACCGAGAGCGGGGACGAGGGCTGGGACTGGGGGGAGGGTCTGGGGTGTGGGGACAATTATGGACGCAACAAAGTGGGGGGGCTAAATGCTCCATAACCAGCACCAGCAGCGTTACTACGATAAGCAAGAAAAGCATTACAAACCTCAGGAGTTTTGGCACAGAAATAGCATCCGGAATCCTCGTCCTTGAGGTTGATCATGGTCAGCTCACCGAGCTCTGCCCGTTGTCCCTGGAGATGCTGACTCGGCCGCTGAACAATGACGGTATCTGGTGTCTCCATCATAATCAATCCCTGCAATGTATTCCAGGCCCTGCCCAGGCCGCTGGCGGATCCTCATCAGACTGGCTCGTCCAAAACTGAACCCGGACCCTCGGCAGAGGAGGCACAGGGAACCCACGGGGGGCTGGAGGTCCCACCCGCACTCCAGCAAGGTCACGGCCGCCCGGAGCCCTGCGGGACAAAGGGGAGATGGGGGTGAGGCCAAAGCTCAACCCTTAACCCAAATCCTGACTCTGGGCCCTAAACTGGGACACTTGGAGTTCATCATCCTCCCTCCTCCTCCCAGCGGGTCCCATCACGTTTTCCAGCAGACCACTTGCACTATGAGACATTCAAGGGATCAGGTTTTTCATTTCCATAACCTCCCCTTTGTCCCGCAGGGCTCCGGGTGGCCGTGACACTGCTGGAGTGCGGGGGGGACCTCCAGCCCCCAGGGGGGTCCCCGCGCCTCCTCTGCTGACGGTCCCGGTTAAATTTCGGCAGTTTCACCATGTACTGGGTGTGCCAGAGACCCGGGCAGGGGCTGGAATAGCTCGCAGGAATCTACAGGGATGGTTCCAGCACCCACTACGCACCATCGGTCAAGGGCTGGGTCACGATCTCCAGGGACAACGGGCAGAGCTCGGTGATGCTGACCATGAGCAACCTCAAGGACGAGGATTCCAGATCCTATTTCTGTGCCAAGGTTGCTGATATTGGTTACCATAATCAGGCTGCTGCTTATCGTTTGATCCTCTCCATGTCCCAATGTCCTCACCCGTCCCGGTTCCCCAGACCCTTCCCCACACCCCAGCCACTGACCCCATTCCTGTCCCTGTGTCCCAGCCCTGAACTGGCCCTTCCCTAAATCTCCCCCATTTTCCCCCAAATTCCCAACTCTCGGCCCCACCCCTTTACCCTTGGTGCCAATTTTTGTGCCAAACCCTCAGGATTGGGTGCCCCCAGCGCGGGTTTGGGGCCAGGGGTTCAGATTCAGGGCTGCCCCAGAGGGATTTTCAGGTCAATGGTCACAATGGAAGGGAGTGGAAACCTGGGGTGAAAGGCCGAGACTTGGGGGATGGTTCTGGGCAAAGGGCCCCAGGGTGAGGGGAAGGGCGAGATTTGGGGGAAATGGGAAAAATTGGGGGAAAAGTCCAGACTTGGGGAAGCAGGGGTGGAGTTTGAGGGAAAAGGGTGAAGTTTTGAGGAGAAGGGCTGGGATTTGGGGGAAGGATCGCCGGGATTGGGGAAATTTGGTGACCGTCATGGTCACTACCAGGATTGATGCCAAAAGCAGATGCATTAGCATTGCCAGCATAATCATTGGTACTTTTGGCGCAGAAATAAACAGCGGAATCCTCGTCCTTGAGGTTGTTCATGGTCAGCGCCACCGAGCTCTGCCCGTTGTCCCTGGAGATCGTGAACCGGCCCTTGACCGACTGCGAGTAGAAGGTGGTGCCACCACTGTTGATGTATGCCACGAATTGTAGTGCCTGCCAGGGTCTCTGATGGATCCAGAACATTCCAAAACTCCCAAAACTGAACCCGGACCCTCGGCACAGCAACGTCAGGGACCCCCCGGGGGGTTGGAGGTCCCCCCCGCACTCCAGCAGGGTCACGGCCGCCCGGAGCCCTGCGGGACAAAGGGGAGATGGGGGTGAGGCCAAAGCTCAACCCTTGACCCAAATCCTGACTCTTGGCCACAAATTGGGACCCTTGGATTTCATCACTGTCCTCCCTGGCGGTGTCCCGCCCCTTTTTAAAGCAAGCCACACCTACTTTGACCCCAGGGCCAATCAGGTTTCCCATCCCCATCTCCCCTTTGTCCCGCAGGGCTCCGGGCGGCCGTGACCCTGCTGCAGTGCGGGGGGGAACTCCAGACCCTTGGGGGTCCCTGACGTTGCTCTGCATCGGCTCTGGGTTCACTCTGGCCAATCACGACATGTTCTGGATCCGCCAGAGACCCGGGCAGGGGCTGCAGTTGGTCGCCCACATCACCTACAATGGAGGCTACACCATCTACAGTCCATTGGTGCAGGGTCGGTTCAGGATCTCCTGGGACAACGGGCAGAGCTCGGTGACGCTGACCATGAACAACCTCAATGACGACGATTCTGGATCCTATTTCTGTGCCAAGCGTATTTCTGGTGGCAGTGCTGATTTTGCCAGTGCTTTTGGCCCTGTCCCCATCTCTGTGTCCTCAGCTGTCCCCAGACCTTTCCCCTGTGGTCACACATGGCCAGCGTCACCGAGCTCAGCCCGCTGTCCCTGCCCGTGCAGACTCGGCCCTTGACCGATGGAAAGTTCCAGGTGACTCCACCCTTGCACCCATCTGCTTCTCTCAGCATGGAGCCCTTGGCTCGAGATCAATTTAAACAGTTTCATCTCCCCAAAATTTCAGGTGTTTTTGGGTAAAAATGTGGGTTTATTCTCCAGAGCTCGCAGAGAGGATTCCAGCCCAGCCCCAAGGAGCAGCCCCAGACACCGCGGCCGCTGAGGGAGAAGTGAAGCCCCAGGTGGGACAAAGGGAGGGAGAGAGGAGCAGACGCCGCGATTTTGGGGCTCTGCAGCCTCCCCCCACTTCCTCCCCGGCAGCTGCCGGGGCCCGGCCGGGGCAGGAAAGGAAACAGAAAGTTCCTGGTTTTGGTCATTGTGAACATCTGTGTTTGGCAGAGGGCAGCTCAGCCTCTGGGCGCTGCGGCAGAGCGCCGGCTGCACAAAAAGCTTTGTGTGCAAAGGGCCCTGGAGCGATCCCCATTTTGCACTGGGATGGAGGGGAAGGGCCAGACTGGGGAGAAATGGGGAAAATTGGGGCAAAACTGGGAATTGGGGAAGTGATGGTGGAGTTTGCGGGAAAATATCTGAGATTTGGGAAACTGGGGTGGGGATTTGGAGGAAGGATCAGAGAATTTTGTGATGCTTGGGAACAGTGAGGAGAGGGCTTGGGACAACAACCACCATCAACACCATAAGCATAAGAACCATGACCACAACCACTGGTGTAACATCTGGCGCTGAAATGGGATCCGGAATCCTCGTCCTTGTGGTTGTTCATGGTCAGCGTCACCGAGCTCTGCCCGTTGTCCGTGGAGATCGTGAACCGGCCCTTGACCGACGGCACATAGTTGGTGTAAGCAGCAGTGTTGTAGATCCTTGCGACGAATTCCAGCCCCTGCCCGGGTCTCTGGCACACCCACTACATGGCAAAACTGCCAAAACTGAACCCAGAGCCTCTGCAGAGGAGGCGTAGGGAAGCCCCGGGGGGCTGGAGATCCCCCCCGCACTCCAGCAGGGTCACTGCCACCCGGAGCCCTGTGGGAAAAAGGGGAGATGGGGATGAGGGAACAAATCCACCTAAATGTTGATTCTTGCCTGCAGACCCTGATGTTGGCCCCAAATTGGGACCCTGGGACCTCCCCATCCTCCTCCTGCAGCTCCTGCTGGCCCTCCCAGGTGGATCCCACACCCTTTTTCTGGCAAGGCGGTGCCCACTTTGGGTCCATAACCAATCCAGCTCCTCCTCCCCATCTCCCCTTTGTCCTGCAGGGCTCCGGGCGGCCGTGAAGCTACTGGAGTGTGGGGGGGACCTCCAGCCCCCCGGGGGGTACCTGTGCCTCCTCTGCCGAGGGTCCGGGTTTGATTTCGGGACTTACCCCATGAGCTGGGTCCGCCAGAGACCCGGGCAGGGGCTGGAGTGGCTCGCAGGCATCTACAGTGATGGTTCCTACATCTACTACGCGCCATCGGTCCAGGGCCGGTTCAGGATCTCCAGGGAAAACGGGCAGAGCTCGGTGACGCTGACCATGAACAACCTCAAGGACAAGGATTCCGGATCCTATTTCTGCGCCAAGGGTTTTGCTGGTTATGCTGGTGATAACAATGCCTGCTGTATTGACCCCATCCCCATCACTGCGTCCCCCCCTGTCCCAATTCCCCAGACCCTTCCCCAGCTCCCACCCCCTGACCCAGCCCGTGACCATTTCTCCATTTCCCTTTCCCCTCTCCGGCCCCAAACCCCAACCCTTGGCCGTTGATCTTCCCCCAAACTCTGCCCCAAAGGTCAGCACTGGACCCGGGGCTGGGGACACGAATTCAGTCACCGAGAGTGGGGACGAGGGCTGGGATTTGGGGGGAGGGTCTGGGGTATGGCGACAATTAGGGACACAACAAAGGGGGCGGGGCTAAATGCTCCAAACCAGCACCAGC